CCTGCAACCTTTTATGGCCATACTGATTATCTTTCTGTTTCTGAATATATTCTCTTTGATATTCTTTTTATTTACCTCTACTCTTTGAATTTGTGTTTTTCCCCTAGCTCATTGTTGCCTTTTGTTTTAATATTTATTCTTAGAGGCGGTGGACAAAGTGTTTGTTGGTTGCATCAACAAAGAAGCTTCAAAAAAGGAAATTGAAGAAGTATGTCTTACCATTCACATTCACTAAAATCTTCGAATATATTCTGTCATCATCTAAGCTCAAGTTACTTTTCTGTCTTATACATGTTAGTGCTAGTGTTTTTCTTGAACTTCAGAATGTGCTGATTTTAGAAACGCATTAGATCCACGCCCTTGGTTGGTTGGCATCTAATGGAGTTCAAAAATTTTGGGCGCCATGTCGAAGTTGTTCATACTTCATAATGCTTTTATGCAGAAATAGCTGGGTGAAATTGTTTGTTAATGTGTGCTTGTGTCTAATTTGCACGGTTAATGTTATTCTTTAATTTCCTTACCGTTTATTTTGATTATCATGTGAAATATCCTTCACTATCCACTTCCATGCCAAGATGCATCTGATATCCTAGGCTCTATTTTGTAATTCTTTTTATGCATATTTTCTACAGGTATTTTCTCCTTATGGACATGTGGAGGACATCTTCATTGCTCAATCTCGCGGTTGGTTTATGATCTTTTTTAAAAAAATATATGTGCGTGTGTGTCCTCAATCATTTCTATTTTCTCAACTAAAGCTCCCAAGTGGCCGGAGATGGTTGGGTATCATGTGAAGTAGTTGAGGTTGGAATGAGATAGAGAACTGCCTTTTCTTCTTGGGTGAAGTAATAAGTATAACTAAGCGATTGGTTTTGAACATGCCACACCCATTAGAACATATACAAAATATTGAGGGGAAAGAGATAAACGTTCACCATGAATAATAGTCCAATGTAGGCTATATATTTTTAGCATTGGAACGCTGTGTCATCTTGATTTTGATAAGTATTTCCTGCTTCATCAATTTATTATTCATATTTCACCTTTTGCCTAACAACTCGCCACTTCTATACCTTTCTTGAATTTCAAGGATATTGTTTTGTCAAATTTTCAAACAGAGATATGGCTTTGGCAGCAATCAAAGCGCTGAACAATGCATTCACAATGAGGGTAAAGCTCTTCTTCTTTTTTATTTTTAATTTATATATATTACTTCATGGTTCTTGTGAAGGCTCATTAAATCTTCTTAATCAAGCAGGGTTGTGATCATCCATTAATTGTTCGTTTTGCGGACCCTAAGAAACCCAAGACCGGAGAACCCAGGTTCTGCCTTCTTTCCCTTTTATTTTCAGATATAACTCTGATGTGACATTTCTAATGAAAGAACTTCAATTACTTGTTACTGAATTCATATTTTGTCCGAACCGTTTTCTTTCTGGTAATTGATTAGCCAAGTACCTTGTGTACATATGCCTTTTCACCGTTTTCTGCTCTGGTAATTGATTAGCCAAGTACCTTGTGTACATATGCCTTGTCAAGGCTTACGGGTGCATGCTTTCATGTACTCAATATATCCGTAATTTTGTTAATGAACAAAATTTGTAAGCAAGGGATTTATGTCCGTTTTTATGCTCCTCACCCCCCCCCCCGGGCTGTGTGTAGGGTCAACCATATGCCTGGGAGTGCATTTGGTCCATGTTCTCAAGAACCAGCTGTCTGGTTGGTTTCGTTTCATCCTCTCTCTCTCTCTCTCTATCACACACACACACACACACAAATTTTTTGAAACTAATTGCAAGAAAGCTGAATTCGCTTCTGCTTAATTGAGTTGTTGCAGGCTGCCACCGAACTATGGTGATTCCACTGGAGGGAGTAATCTGCCTATGGCCCCACATCATCCCACAATTCCACACCCACAAGTTGCTCCTCATATTCAAAACTGGCAACCTGCTAATGCCATGGTGCAACAACCATTTCCTTCCAAGCAAGCACATCCACAATTGGCTCCAATGCCCTCCCAGTCCATGCAGGCTCAAAAGTTATCTTCTCAACCAGTTGTTACCGAGGTGCTGAAGCAGTCGCATCCAACAGATTCATCAAGTCAAAATATAGTAGAGCAGCAGATAAATACACAGGTTAGTGGCTAACAGGTAATACATTAATCAATCATTATTTAGGAGCTCTTCATTCAGGTTTTTGTTCTGGTTGTGAAGTGAATTTTTAGTTACTGAAGAGATAGGTTCACATAGCTGCAGTGATATTTGTCTCTTATTAACTCGACATTCTTAGATTTCTTCAAACTGTGTTTCTTTTTCCTCCTGGAAATTACCATCAAAAAATTTTAGGCCTTCTAAAGTTAACTTTAGAGCATTTCTAAACACGTTCCCGGCACCTGTACCTTGACGACCTCAAGCCTTGAGGTGATTCTGGATTTCTTTCTTTTAATCTTTGATGATGCCTCAATAAAATCAACCTTAATTTCATGGGTTTTGCCCGTTTACAAGTTACTGTAGATTAACAAAACTACTGAATTTGCCATTCTCTTGCTGTTGAGTTTAAGTATCAACTCTTTTTACCATACATTGACTAGATTAATTTGATTTGGTGCGAGGTCAGGGTAGGCTATCTACATTTTTATTTGACCAGCCTGAATGTTATGCTTAGTTTTATATTTTTCTTTGCAGCCTTCCCAGACCGGAGGCAGTCCTTGTGCTGTTGCTGGCAGTACATCACCAAATATGCCAGAAAGTCCTGACGACGAAGTTTTTCCAGAGTGTGACTGGAGTGAGCATATCTGTCCTGATGGTAATAAGTACTACTATAATTGCGTAACTTGTGAAAGTAGGGTAATGTTTCTCCCTTTTCAGTTTTGAGCCTGTTCCTACATTTTTTCCCTGAATTTTATTAAACCAAGTTTATGATTCTTGCTCTGAATGTTGCTGCAGTGGGAGAAGCCCGATGAATATGCCTTGTATGAGAACAAACTACAAGAGCAGGAGGATCATGGCTGTCCAAATTCATAGTTGGCATTATCTTCCTGACAAGTTGCTTAGATACAGCAGGTGAACTCTCAAATGCATCTTCCAATAACTACGGAGCAAACCTTTCCTGCCTGTCTGGGGGTTACCTCCCCCTTGTATGTATGACAGAGAGAAAATAGTTATTCAAATCCTTTTTTTTTTGGGGGGGGGGGGGGTTGTGGGGTTTTGTGTTTCAAAGATGGGGTATTCATATCATCCTGATATTTCTTAAGATTTAGCTATCTACCTATCGTGCGTTTTGCTAGTGGAATTAAAAGCAGGTGTGTTCTTTTGACTTCACGTTATAGTCCCATGGCTTAGCAGATCACATTTTTTGGGGTCAATAGCTCAGTATATCGCTTACAGATGCTAACTTTTCGCATCTTAGAAAAATTGATTAAATATAAACCGAGTCATTTACCTTCATGTTTAAACCTGACTTTTGGAAGTAACTCTCAGTTACTTGTAATTCTTTTTATTTTTTTAAAAAAAAACTGCCACTTTACCATTTTGTCGTCAAATAGGGCGGATGATTTTATTCTCCCGTTTGGTTGCATCAGTTAACATGCTGTAATTGTGCAGGAAACAAGTAGTTATATCACGTCTCTGTCTTAAGGAGAATCTAATATCTGAAACCACAATTACTATTGGAAATGTTTCCATTATCTGAAGATTCGATCCTCCAAACAGCGGACCACCTCGGCTGCATGAACTTTGCAATGGCTGCTACTATCTTGTAATATATTTTTTTTCCTGTGGTTTTTTTTGGGGGGGGGGGGTGTAGCCGGTGGACTCCTAGCATTGTATTTGAGATTGATGTTTTGTGGGTCTTCTGTTGCGGGCGGAGCTTTAGACAACAAACGGCTGGCCGATTTTTTCCCCCCTTTCTTTTCTTTAGCAAAAATTATTTACAGGCAAGGAAGTGTACAGAAAGCTCGAAACTGGTTATAATAATATGTTTAGATCCTCATGGCTGTGCGCAGCAACGCACGCGGATTAAAGATGGTCATTACGTACATTAAAAAAAGTTTGGTTGCTCTTATCAGGGCTCACTTTTACGTTGGGCCTGATTATGGGGCCTGACAAACGAAAATTCCTGGCACTGCATATCAGGGGGTATAATCTTGAAAGAACAAAATAAGGTGGATTTAAAAATCATACAGTAGAGATGGTGAACAAATCCCAAGTAAAAGAAGAGAAATGAGGGATGTAATCCCGCACTTTACGCGGAGCAATTGGTCAATTTTAGGTCGGGAGTAATGTACGTGTGTGTTAATAGTGCTAAGAAATCGTCAGTGCCCATTGGAATAGAAGGGTCCCATCATTTCACCCTCAAGCTTCACGGTGAGTTGGCCTGTGCCCATCCTATCAACTTCAATTATTCCTGTACGATGATAGTCTCACCTGCTCAATAGAACGCAGCAGAAGGAAGAACATGACTCGAGATGTTCTGGTGTCTTCCTCAATAAAAGCTAAAAGATGTCGTTATCAGGATCTATTCCGTCCGTCACAGAAACCAAACCACTATCTGTGACATGCTGCCGTGGGTTTTCTTCTTTCTTTTTCGGCTTTTTTTCTTTTAGCCCTCTCCAGTTTCCCTCCTTTTCAGGTGCTCTTATCTGGCCTCTCTTCAATGAATCGATTTCATTAATGGATTGCATAACGTGCAGATTAAAGAGTGGCATTTACTCAACAAGCTCGAAATAGAGTGGTAGAGGTTGAAGCGACCTTCCTATTTATAACAACGTGCCCATATAAGGACACTGCTTTCACCATCAGATCCTCCAAATTTTAAAACATTTTCCTAGAATTAGTTTTGTGTGGATTCCGGGACAAAGCTAAGGAAGAAAGCTTCCACACGGGATCGTTCTCGTGCCAATAAACCTAAACCTAACAATCTTTACTGCTGCGCAGTGAAATCGACGTACATTCCTTCAACGAAAAGAAACAAGAATACAAGACAAAGGACGAGTCAGAAGATTCAAAGCGGACAGAAAAGCTTATTTACTATTTTGTTTCTTTGTTATCTTTCCCACAACCCCCGCCTACGAGAACTTTCTTCTCCCTTCTTCCTTTTTAGCTCAACAAAAATATTAAAGCTCGCTAGAAGATGTAGTCCCTGCACTGGTTAAAAATCCAAGCAACATAGCATACAGTAAATGATAAACACGAGGGCTATGCGCAAAACATTGGGTTTTACATATAATTAACTAACTAGCAGGAGTACTGGAGTTCACGTCTAAGTCTATTATAAATTAAATTAACGTCATCATTACAAAGAATTTGCATGATCACGCAGTTAATTAAGGATTGATGGTCTGTCTACTCTTCTTTCAACATATGGGAAGGAATGATATCTTGGAGAAGCCCATGGTCCCTTAAAAAAGCATTGGTCCCTGGATTACAAGGCATCCTCTCTTGAGGAAAGGCGGCGATACTACTCTTTGAACCACAAATGCGAGGAAAACCCAAAGACGACAATGTGTTCGCTAGGAATTGGTGATCATTATGATGTTGGAGCTGCTCATGATACTGCGGGGATAATAAGTTTCCCGGCGTTGCAGCTGAACCACATCCGGCGGAGACCACCGCTGGTACCAAAGCTCCGGCAAGAGTCGAACGAGGCATGAGTGGGCTTGTATGTGTGTGTTGGCCTTCATAGGTCGTGACAACAATGCTTGGATCAGTGAAGGATCGTTCCACTCGTTTCTTCACATTACATGAAGCACTGGTGCAACGGTAGTAGCTTCTGTTCAAAATTTTAAGAACGATATTTAAAATTCATTTTAAACTAGAAAAAGAATTAGCAAAGCTAGGTGCAGATGAGTGAAAATAAGAGATGTACAGCAGAAATTGAAGCATCACCTGGGAAAGGGGCTGTTCTTCACGGCTTTTTGACCGTACTTTCTCCATCTGTACCCATCATCCAGATGATCGACCTCGCTTTTCGTCATGAACGCGAATCTCGGTTCCCTCTGTTTCTTCTGACTTGTCTTCTTGGCCTTCAACCTATACCCAGCCAGATCCACGAAACCATCAAATCTTAGAATGTCGGTAACACCAATTTACGTGCGACAGAAGAAAAATTAAGGCATACTACATTTATTTCCTAATAAGAAGTGCGCGCGCGAGCGCATAAGGTTCCGGCAATCGAAGCAAAAATAATTTAAAGGAGAAAAATCACGTACTACATTACACAAGACCGCACCAAATTATCTCCTTTCGTCCCATACTCCCTTCTATTAAATCAAAATGGGGGAAAAGGAGATGAATAGAAAACCCACTTTTTCTTGGTCTTTCGTTGTTCATCTCCCCGTTGATCTACAGTTTTAGTGTGTTCATCAATCAGTGCCTCACTGGACGCAGATGAAATGGATGAAGAGTTTGGAGTGGCAGGCTGTTGATTCAACGGCTCGCAGTAGTTTTTTGCAGCGGCACATCGATTTTTGAGGTCGGAAGGAAATAGTTGCGGGGGCAAATCAAAGGAACCATAGTCCTGCTCCTGCACACCCAGTAACTCCATAAACCCTAAAGAGCTCTTTTCCACTTCATGAAAATCAAAGACACTCGAAAGTGGGAAGCTGTTTGAATTATAATCCCCAAACGAAGAGGATCCAACTGCTTCCTCCTTCTTGACACCCATGTCTTTCTTCTCCATAAACGACCCACAGATTACACTCCCATGATCAAGCCTGAATCCTTCAGCCTCAACCAGGAAAAAATGAAACTTGGCAACGCGGAGTGGGTGGTAGAGACGGAGCAAGGTCGGGTTGATCTGGTTAATAGGTGGGGGAGGATGGAGAGAATAGTTTTGGGTTCACGAAGAAAGAGAAAGTCCAGAGGATGAGGATGGCTAATAATCGGAGCTTGCCAAGCAAAGCAAATTAAACAAGTTTTGACCGGCAAATGGAGGTAATTCACCGGTACGGACAGGGTCATGACGAGGCGGGGGCATTTAATGAATGAGGAAGGTGCCAGGGTCGAGGTTTTCCATACGTAGAATATCACTGCTTGGACCGGTGTCAGGTGTGAATGGGGTTCCGGCTATGCGCTCAAAGCAGCCGACGTTTTAGATTATTCTTATAACGAACTCTTTTAAATTAATATGAGTTCATATAATATTCAATGCAAATTGTTCCGGTCTTGCCTCGCCTGAGAATTTCCTCCCAGAGTCATATTCTGCTTCATTTGTCTTGAATTTAACATCTTCCCTAGCTCTCTGCTACCTTGTGCATGCAGCTCTTTTAATTCTCCGCCATTAAGCATCACGTGATCATGACATGCGTATCATTACGCGAGTTAAAAATCGATTTACAATTTATACATGGTTCATTAAAGACAATAACGAATCAATTTTTTTTGGGTTAAAAAGGGTGGGGAAGCAAATTATTAATTCCACAGGGGGGGTGTGGATCACTGGATTGTGACGAGAAGCAGCAGAGGAGGTCGTAAATGAAGGGCCGAAAAGGGAACTATAGATGTAAAAAGGTACAAGGGTGAGTGAGTTTTAGGGACTGGATTTGAGCAAAGAATTTAGTTGTTAAAACTACCATACATAGATATGTATATATCAAAAGAGGCTAAAATTCTCAAGGGACGTGGGCATCACCCTGGCTGCATAGGGTTTCCTTTACCCACTCTGCTTCTTCTTCCTCCCCTTCTTAATTCTCTCTCTTGTTCTCTTTTTTAGCAAAACATATATTTGTGAGCGTATATATACTGGTGAATGTATGAATCAGTATATAGGAGATGGAGATGGGTTTTACCTTTGGTGAGAAAGGGAAAAGGTGGTGCACGTGCGGCTAAGAAGGGCGCATGCTGACATAGTTTGCGTGTGAGTACTTGGTACCTCCTACCTAGCTGCCCATGCTTCTCTTCTCTCTCTTGCTTTCCATTCCAATACTTGTTTGTTCCTTTCCCACTCCCGCATCCACCCCATTCATTATTCATTATTCCTTTCCTTCTCTCTCTTGTTCTTGCTCTTCATTCGCTCTTGTCCGCGTACGGCCTTCCCCTCTTATTACAAATCCCATGTCTTGTTTCTTAACACACATGTACTTGCACAACCGTCTTGTTAATCTGTGGCTCGTGTTATATAATCATGACGTCAAATTGGTCACTCCAGAATGCTGGCAATCCCCAGGTTAGTTATACAAGAAAATATATATGTATATATATATATTGAAGAACATAACATAAACAAAACAAGTACTCGTATAAACATAATTGTGTTCCTCTGAAAGGTTGATAATTGAAGATCCCATTGTCACAATACATATCATATCTTGAATGCCCATTCCGTATAACTGTAAAACATGGATCCTCGTGCAACTACGCTCTGCGCAATACCTGATTCATAACCGTTTTCTGGGTTTCCCATTACGGGTTCAAGAAATTATAGCCGTGTTCTCTTTGCGGTGTGATAATCAAGTCACACCTCTCGGCCAGTCCCGCGTGGACGGTGGATGTCGATTTTCCAAATCTTTGATTATTTTATGTGTCCCAGCTACTTATTTGATTTTAAATTCCCAATCACTTTTAACTCCTTATTCTAATAACTGCAATGAATTCGCCCCGATTTTATTATTCTAGAAGTTCTTGGGAAGAATACTTTCCCGTATGGTTTGTTTCAATTTTTAAACAGTATTTAGGCGTTATATATAAGATCTTAGTACGTGACAAAATAGGATTTTCTGAACTGGCTCGTCTGTGAACACACAAATAGATCAGAAACAAAATTACGGTCTGGTGAAGAGAGGGAGTATCATACGCTTCAGGGTTCTGTCATATTGACAACTTCACGTTCGTGATGACGCGCGCTTGGAGAGTTCCAGCATATTTTATACTGAATAGTATTTAAAAAGGATATGGTTTTAATTTTGAAATAATTCAACAAGAGATAATTACAATCAATCTCATAAAAAGAAAAAAAATTACAAAACAAGTTTTAGAAATTGTTATTTTTCACAGTAAGACTTGTTATTACAAGCTGCTTAGGTTGTTGTTGAGATTTTTTAGTCATTATTTATCTTATGTGGGACTTGATTGTAATTCTCTAATTAAGCAAATTTTCAAATGAAAATAATATGTTTTCATCCAACTTTAATTTTTTAACCTTAAATTCCCTCCACTAGTCTCCTGACACTTCTCTGTGCGTAATATTTTGGGGGGAGGGGAATACCAAGAGACTAAGACCAGCGTAAAAACCAACCTTATTTTGAGGGATATGTTTCTAATTTCTCAATTCTGCTTGGAATTAAGGGCGGTCCTTGATCAAATAATTAAATAGTAAAATAAGGGCGTGACTCATGAGTTGGTGCTTGTTTGACTTTGACCGGAGGTCGCTTCTGGGATAAGTTTGGGGAGCTCAAGACCGGAAAAGGGAAACGTGGAAACGAAATAAAATACGAAAATGCGTTTTGTCTGGGGGCGAAACGTCGCCGTATTTCCTTGGAAGCCCGAGCCCCATTCGCACCGATCCACGAGCCCCATAATTGACCAGAGTCACGAGTCCACTATTTAGGGGGTTTGGATAGAAACTAAATCATGGTTTCAGAAGTGTTTTTACGAATTACGAAATAAATATGTGGAGAAGATTGCCTCGTTTTGCGGAAAAGTGCTTCTGAAACTATGGTTTTGGGTTTCCCAAACACCCATTTATTTATTTCCTCAGTTCATACTCTTCCGATCCTGTCTAAGGAGAGAAAATAATTTTTTATCGTATTTATAAGTCATTCTATTAAATTTTTAGTGAATGTACTATTTTATTCTTTATTTATTATAGTATAAGTAGTTGTTTCTTTTAAAAAATGTATATATTAAATATCGATAGAGTTAGAAAATTATCATATTTTAATAGAGAGCTAATATATTTTATGGTTTTTTTTTTTATACTGAAAGTGTCTTATAAATAAGATCAGAAAAGTATCGGCTAGGCACCTACCTTCATAGCTACTTGATCAGTGAAGGCAGCTCATAGCAGGACAAGTGATTACCCATGTCGGTGGTAATTAGCAAAACCAATGACTGCTTGAATCAATTAAGGCTACGTTGACTTGCGGATTTGGCATTTTTTTAACATTATGGGAAGAGAACAAGAAAAAAGGCATTGTGATATTGTCTCATGGTCTTATTGTGCAGGTCATATCCTAATTTTTTTTTTAATTTTAAATATAAGTTACATTTGAAAATGTTTGATTTTTTTTTATCACAAATATTCTTTATCAGAAGTCATTCTGTTGACTTTTCTCTTGAAGCATGGTGTTGAAATTTAAGGAATTTGATTAAGGATCATTTTAAAAAAAAGCCTTGATTAATTTCAAAATTGAAGAATATGAACTTATCTTTTTAAAATATTATGGGAGATCAAAAATTATTTATATAAAAATGAAGCATGTAATAATATCGATCGCTCTGGTGGGTTGGGAATTTGGCATTGATGAGGAATAGGTCCATCCATGATTGCCGGCGGGTCATATATATAAAATGCTAGAAAGCTAAAGCCAAATATTTGTTGAAAGCCTCATGATTTATTCTATATTTGATATGGATTTCTTACCCCACCTAACCGTTACTTTTGTTACAGGTGACCCACTTGGAATGGTGAACTTATCCTTTTCATGTCCCAATTAATTAAATTATAATTAACTAAGCAGATCTTTATTGATTCGTTCGATCGGTAGGAAACACCTTCTAGAACGTTGACATTATTTAGGTTTTAACTCAGGGCTCCGGCCAACTCGTGATCCTGAATCCACAAACAAACAAATCTTATCGTAGCATAACATATACATATATTATTCATCCTCCCTGTAACTTACCACCCAGTTGCATTCGAAGTCGAGAACAGAACAAGTTTTCAGGCGAGAGCGTTAGGCCAGTGACCTTGAATTAAAATTAAACAGCATTTGAGTCTGGTTGGTTTGTGTCTATATATGTTCAAATTCAACCTACCGAGCACACGCCCCTCAACACGGATACGATTCCATATTACATACACTCGCACCTGCGAGATTGGCTCCTGGGTGGGAGTAAATAGAAAGAGATGAATTATATCCAAACTTTTTATATAAATCGTTCAACGGTCTGCTTTTTAACCTTCATAATTATGTATGGAATCCAGCAAGACAGTACAACCCCACCACACGTCTTTAAAAGGACCTTCTTTTTAACCCAAAAAAGGGGTTAAATTCGCAAGATAATCACACGCCTCTCAGTTAATCTGAACCATCAAACTTCTCCATATCAATAAGACAGCTCAGGTAAGGAGGGAATAAAAACAGAGACTTATAAATTTCAATGGACTAGAGCTTTCAGAGCTGCTATAAGAGAGTATACATGGGGAAAACCAGTACGTAGCATAAAAATATGAAAAAAGAAGCGCAGCCCATGCCTGGCCGTAGCACGAGTGATGGTCTGGGAATATATTTCGTGTGTATGCGTGTACTTCGGCTGGTGATGAATGCCGACACTGCCGTAAATTTTCAGAATGCGAGATTCTCGGACACGATTACGAATATTTTATCTGCGATACATATAATATCTCATATTTGATCTGCAGAATGTAGGTATATGCACAGAAACCATTGTTCATGATCAGGTGTGACTATAAATCTAGAATTGTCCTCCGAGCTAGCCCACACAACATCATCAATCATCCGCAGACAGGCATATTCATTTGATTTTTATCATTGATATAATTCTAAATAATAGCTGCGAATTGAAGAAAGCAATAATAATAATAATATGGGGTGTGTGTGGCATGTTTTGCTTTACCTTGTGATGAAAACAATGTATTCGATTGGTTTGACTTCTTAACGAGCATTGAAGATATCATGATGCCGGTGTCCCACTTTAA